GAATGTCTTTCAGTGACTGTATAAGACTTTGCATGGCCGCAACCTGTTGACGGAGTTTCAGCACTCGTGGCTTATATTCGTCCAACCAATTTTGTTGTTCATTCTGCCCTTGACGCAATCTCTGTATTGAAGTGCTCAACTTTAATGCTTGGAAAGCACCTCGAATTCTCGTGATATCTGACACCATAGCCGTTAGTGGCCTTGTGTTTAACGTCGGTAATGCGTCGTAGCTTGTTGTAGTTTTATCCAACTCTTCGGAAACGCCGTTAACCTTTCCCAAAAGTGCTTCTGCTGCTACTTGTGTTGTTGTTGTGTTTGCCAAGATAGCTTGTGTGTCTCGTTGAATTGAGGTGCACTTCTCGTGAATAGGGTTGACTTGATTTGCGATATGATCCAGAACCATGTTATGATTATTGACCACCGTAGCTGCCTTTTCGTCCGCAGTGTAATTCCTCAACTTTTGAGACAGGACGAAAGTTTTGGTAATTGCCTGCAAAAGGGTTGAAAGAAATTATGAGTTCATGAACCACAAATGTCCGTTTAGATTGTCAAACAATTTCAGAAAATTTGCGTAAACTAAAACAGAAGAATTTAAGTGAAGAATATAAGGGAAATTTCGACGTTTCGAGCGAAGGCCCTTTGTCTAGCCTGCGAACAGGCTCTCTTTGATCAATTCAAAGAACCTGTTCGCAGGCTAGCCCTTTATCTGGAGTTTATACGTAACTCCAGAAGAAGGGCCTTCGCTCGAAACGGCAAAATTCTCCTTATATTTTTCAGGTAGTTGCATCGATCCCCACCAACGAAAGCTTGTTAATACTTTTGGCATTACCTATAAACTGGCACAGACAGTTCAAGAAGATTAATTTAAGGACTTTCAAGTACTTCTTCACAATTTCAAGGATATTCAAAGCCTTGTGCAGAAGAATGCATCACTCCATGAAAGTGTACATGGGATTTAAAGGCATTTTTTATTTTTACTGGATTTTGTGGGGGATTCTTTGTTACAGTTTGTGCAGAAGAATGCATCACTGCATGAAAGTGTACATGGGATTTCAAGGCATTTTTTTATTTTTACAGGATTTTGTGGGGGATTGATTTTTTCGAGATTTTTGGATTATTTTGGATTTGAAGGGATGTTAAGGGATTTCATAGGGTTTTTACGGGGCTGGGATATCCAATATAGTTAACTTTAAGTCTTTAACTTTAGATTGAGTATGTGTAGAACTACTGTTAGGGCTGTATATATGACCCCGTATTGCCGGGACGAGATGTAAAGCGGGATGATTTTGACATATTAGTGAGTTTAAGACACCCCGGTTTCGGTGTACGGGTACGAGTGGTGTCATCTTGTTTACTAGTTTTTACTGATGTCTGTAATTCGATCATACTTTTCTGTTTTCTTGCAATAGACAATGATATAACGCGAAAAATGTGCACCTTAATTACGAGTAAAGGTTCAAACATCGACGAAAATATTGCTAACCAAAATCATGCTACCCGTACCCGTACACTGAAACCGGGGTATCTTAAACTCACTATTGAAGTAAGTTACGGTTTATGATGCGGCAAAACTGCATTACTTTTCTAGTGATACGGATTACAGTATAATTGCACACGAAAGGCTGTTCTCGCGTAGCAACAATAATTTCTTGAACCAGGGGCATAGCCAGCCACAAACGAGTGATATGAAAAGAGTCAGTCAGCGCTATGCCAACAGTCGTGGGTTTTCACCGGGTGATCCGGTTTCCACCCATGAACAGGAAAGTTGACACAGTGGGTAAGGATAAACATAGTTAAAAAATTAATATCACAATTGTTGTAAAGATGAGATAGTCTAGGCTATGTAAATACTAAAGTATACTACTCGATGTATAAAGCGCATTTGGTCATGTCCGCACTATGTAAATTTGCGCTCGGTATAGAAATGCTATTCTTAATTGTAATACATCAAAATCATTCCGCCTTCCATAACGTTCCAGCGAACTGAATCAGTTGTGTAAATACGTATACAGGGCTCAAAATAACGGACGGTCAACGGACAATGACCGGCCAAACAATGCCTCTTGACCAGTAACTTTTGTACCTCACCGGTCATTTTGACTGGCCACATTTTCATGCCTTCCAATGTGATTGCTGAAGTCTTGAATTAAAATGATGTATCGAAACAAGTTTCTAATAGTTTGTTTCACTGTTTGTGCAAACATGACTTTGACTGGTCACTTTGACCGGAGACCTAGCTATCTCCTGTTATTTTGAGCCGTGTGTAAACAGCTCCTTAGCCGCCCATAATGTTAAATAACTTACTTCATTCTCCTCTTTCGCATGGTTTTCAACCTTCTCTGCAAGAACCACCAAGGAATGGGATGAGTTATGCGACGAATGCAATGATTGAGCAATGTTGCTTGCATAGTCTATCCTTGACTGATGGAAAGCTGTTAATTCATTTGCGTCTTGAATGGATTTCTGGGACTGTTGTTTAGCTTGTTCCGCAACGACTCCGTAGTTTTCCACTGTATCAAGAATGTTCCCGGCACGTTCGTGTATTTCTTGAGCTTCATGTATGGCTGTCACAGCTTGTGTGTGGTATTTCTGACTTTCAGCAAGATGTTCGCTTGCCTGTTGTTCGGATGTTCGTACGTGTTCCTTTGTAACATGAAATGTAATGTTATTTTTTGTACAATACATAAAGCATGAGCCCTGCAGGGGTCATCCTAAGAAAAATTTAGAACTGCCCATTTCGACAAGAGCAGACTGTGAAGTAGTAAACACAGGCTAACTGTGTGGCAGTAACGAGAGAAGAAGTCATGGTGTATTGGGTACAGGATACCTGAATAGCTAGGAGGGTCCTGGAACATGCCCCCCCCCCCACCAGAAAATGTTGACATACATAAGCATAGCTTATAGACTTTATACCGGTACGGCCATTAGTGGTCGGCCAGGTAATGGCTATTTCCTGCATTTTCAGAGTGACATTTGGGTTTTCTTTTTGCCTTAAATATCTGTATGGGTGCTTAATTTAGAACTAATTCCCATATAAAGCTCGAAAACTCAATTTTAAGAACTGGCCATCTTAATTTTTAGCCTACCATTTTACATTTAGAACTCCCCATTTTGAAAAATGGGTGGTCTTGGGACGACCCCTGGCATGAGTGATTCAGGCATGCAAATACTTATTTTCTTTGGAAGGACAAATGTCAAGCCAAGACAAATAGGACAAAGTCAATGAGCAAAGTAGTTCTTTCTTTTTTTTTAATTATCCGCATGATGTGTTTCGGTTGGTCATGTTGGTCTGCACTGCAATGCATATAAAAACATTTAATTTACATGTGCCAGTCCTATAATGCATCATTTCTGTTCAGAATTGCACTCAAACGTGAAGACGTCATGCAAGGCATCAAAGGGGAGGAAACTCACTTCCTAAAACAGAAATGATGATAAGATACCGGGATAAATGGTTCAGGTTACCAACTCTTATAGAATTTCTCCAATCAGATTTAATTTCTACCCTGTTGCATGCTATAAGACATTATATATCTGTACGTGATTGAATATTATGATCTAACACAGCTATATGATATATGCTGGGAAAGTGTTGTTTATATTGCTTTGTATACCAGCTTAAATCGATCGGTTACGAGTGAGCTTTTCAAAGAGCATCAAAAGTGCTTGTTTTATCCAAATTTCACGAGATGTCATTCTATTACGTATTAATAGTATACATAAAAATGTAGAGACAATTCTAGTTTTATTGTAACTTTCGTTTCACAGCGAACTGTTGACTAACAAAGTTTTTCTGCTTATTATATCCATTGTACAGTTTGAAAATTTCACTTAACTATATGTATAGGTAGTTATTTCTCTTGTTTAAAATAAAGTCTTTTCCGTCCATGCTATTTTGCCATATTTTCGACCCAAACTCAATTTTTTCTTTAAATTAAGTACCGAGGCCGCCATGTTTGTTTTGTTTTGCCTTGAAGAAATCTGTGAGCGTTATTTTGAGGACTACGTATACTTTATGCTGATTGGTCGATTTGAGATCCCATTGAATTTGTTTGTTCACCAATAAAGTTGTTTGTAACAGATTTTTGCACCGTTGTTACATATTTTTCCGACTGCTGTTTGGGATTAACTCCACTGAAATCAACCAATCACAGTCGAGAAACATTTTTATTCACTATACTATTAGGGAACTAAACACATTAAACTAGTTCGTATAATCATATTACCTGCAATATTGTTATCTGTTTTAATGCATCTTTGGTTTGATTCATGACATTTGAAAATTCTTCAGAAGCTTTGTATACCGACTCAATAACGTCTGTCGCGTTTCTACGTACCTCCTGGGCGAGCTCCTTTAACAATAATGCCTCCTGAGAAAAAGAAAAGGTATGATTCATAATTCTTTGTTTTTTTTTTGGCAAACACAACGATTATATTATACTAGCATACTAAAATGAGTAAAATTGCAGACGTTTGGTTGCAAAATGTTGTAAAATGCGGAAAATATAGCATTGCAAAGTTCCCAAATTTTGCCAGTATACTTTTGTATTGCGTGCGGAAATTGCTACCAAATTTGGGCCGAAAATGAGAGCGATTTCCGCACGCAATGCGAAAGTATACAAAATTTGCAAGCTTTGCAAGGCTGTCATATTTTCCGCATTTTACAACATTTCCCAACCAAACTTTGCAATTTTACTAATTTTGTATGCTCTTTCTAGATACGGTGATTTATTTGCATCTCCTTGCCTAGTTCTAAAATTAGTCTATAATGGGAATTGTCTATTCCAAACTGAAGCTATTGATAGAAAAAGTTTTTAATCAAATTCCCCCGGAAACCACCCTATTAGCTATATGTACAAATAATATATGAATGTAAAATAAGAAGAATATAACAATTACCTCTGCGATACTGGCAGTGTTGTTAGACATGTGTGTCTCCAAATGTGACGTCACGTTAAACACGATCGATGCGTTGTTATACTGCTGTCGAGCTGTATCGTAGGCGCGTCTGCCAATCTCTTTCGCGTCAGACATATTAGCTTGCAATGTTGGAATCCATAATACCAGAGAATCAAACAGGTTTAGCGCATTTGTAGCATCTTCCCTCGCTTTGGTAATTAGAGTTACGGCTGCTTCCAAATGGTTATTAATTGTCTTGTTTATAAGACCAATTTCTGCCACTTTTTCGATCGACTGAGCGTTAACCTGTTCCAGTTCGTTCATCCAATCATCAAGTAGCATCAGAGATGTTCGAATTTCATTCAGGAAACCTTCCATTGTATTGTTTAACGAATTGTAGCCCTGTGTTGCTAAGTTACGAATATTTTCCATAACTGCCACTGTCTCTTGATGTTTCTGTCGGATTCTGTTCGCGGCATTCACTGTTATATTGACTTCGGAGTCTTTTTGTGACCGACTTCTCTCAAACGTTTCCAGCACACTAAAACCCCTCTCTAGCTGTAGGTTTGCGCTATCTTCTTCAGCAGCTAAGGCCTGCAAAGAAAACAGGCAAAGCTTAAACTAGCAGCTGTAAGTAGATGTTAACCAAGGGACGCGTGGACGCTGGTACACAATCCGGGCCAAAACGCATGTGGTTAATCCACTTCCGCAAAAATCATAACAAACAGCTAAAACTTGAATTTACTGGCATATCCCCCACTCCCCCTCTTCAATGTTGCATATCCGAATTATTTACATTTGATGAAAAATCCCATTCAACATTGGTTTGGGGGAGCGGGGGGATTATTATTTAGAAAAAAAATGCCATTCAAGGCCAATGTCTGCATGTGGGTTGTCACTTTTCCACGTTTTGACCAGGATTGCAGGTGCACCTACTACCTGCCCCTTACCTGCGTGGATCGATACTCAATTTCCTCATTCCAAGGTCTATTTTAGTACGCAGTATTGATTAGGGTGAGATTTTTTTTATAAAAACCGAAAACCGTTCGAAAAACCCAGAAAAAACTGAGTAAATCGGCTTTTTTAGAACACGTTCGAAACTACAGTTAGAAAGGTGAATGACGCTTGTGAGTCATGCTACCCAAGCTCGTGCGAATGGAAGCCGTTCCGTTCGTAGATCGCTGTTCATCATTATAGACGTTTTTCCAGGCATGAACACAAACACTTGATTCTTTTTTAACGGCCTGCATGTGTAAGAATAGCATAAACTCTCTTTTAGTTTAATCACGAAAGCGTAATTTGAACACCGATTGCATTGAAATACCGATTTTTGTTCGGATTTTTCTGTATTTTGGCTTTCCGGTTTTTCACCGAAAGCAACATCGGTTAAATTGGTTTTCAAAGAACATCGATTTTTTTCCGTTTATCGATTATTTTCTAGCATCGTCCTTGGATTTTACTATATATGAGTAAATTGTTAAACACGTCCAAAATTATCAATACAATAAATTCGCGCAATCATATTGGGATAGATGAACCTAACCCCAATCTAACCCCAACTCTAACCCCTAACCCGAATACTAATAATCTTAATCTGACACTATAATCTAAACTTCATGAATTTAAATTTATCTATTCGCGTGCGCACGTTCTCGCGTGTCTAATACATGGTGGGTTCAGCAGAAGAGAGGATGGAGAAGGAAAATGGAGCGAAATATAGTGTTAAGGGTGGGATTGACTGGGAGGAGGCGAAGATTGTTACGCGCGAGCATGGCCTGAGAAAGAGAAGGAATTGAGTAAGTACGGGAAGAACAATTTTGAACAATACATTCTGTTTCTTTTTGTATGAAACTCTATAAATTACCTCAGATCTCAAAACGATTTCTTCGACACGATCCTGAATGATTTGTAATCGTTCAGTAAAGCTAAACGACTGACTCAATAAATCCTTGTCAAGCAACGAGCGAAGAAGAACCTTCAAGCTTAATATCTGTTGTCGAAACTTGTCCACCTCAACTTTTATCATCCCAAAGCAAGGAGGGCACTCTACAATTAAAAAAAAATGATAATGAAAGATTTTGGTACGTTTCAGTGCCATAGAAATTCGAAGCATTTGTGATTGTTAAATATTTCCTTGAATTTGATATCTCAATAGACCTTACCAATTATTCTCTTTTACCCAATGGCCTCGTTTTCATGTCAAATACTTACTTGTTTGTGTTTTGCGCTTAGTATGGTTGAAAATTACTTTGTTATTGAGCCTAAGAACAGCAAGAAACAAATTCGTCCAGGAAAACATGGGAATATAATCTTGATCTGCCCCTGACATGCTAGAATAAGTTAACATGGAAACGAGGCCATTGGGTAAAAGAGAATAATTGGTAAGGTCTGTTGACATTATACTACAAAATTTGTCACTGTTCTAATCAAATGTCCGAAGTATATATTGCAGGTATACATAGGTTATATATAATACGAGGGGTATTAGAGGGTGATGTCAGTTTTATCGCTTGAGGAACAATATCGTAAATGATATTACATTTATGATATCGTCCTTAAAGTGATAAAACTTTTTATGTTTGCTAAAAACGTTATATTGGTTAGTTATTGAAAAATTTTTGGGGAGAAAAAGTTTCGCTCAGAAAGCCGGGAAATATAACTAAAATTTCGCCTTTTTAGCTTGCGTTCGCTTTTAACTTTCACGTTAGCCCTAAAAACCTTATAATTTACCTAAAAATCAGCTCAAATCATCTCTAAATTTACCAGAAATTACTCATGAAGAAATATTGGGGGTGTCACACCACCTACATCCCCGGTCGCTACATCATTGAGTGTAGTTTGACATACCTTCGCAATTCAAACTGCTCTCAGTTCTATTCCAAGCGTTCTCCTGGCATACATTACATCGTCTTCCACCAGTATGTAGGGTTTGGTTACATTTACACTGACCTGTAGTCACGTTACAACTGGATGTATTACCATATTGAGTGCCAGGTAAGTGACAGTCACAAGCTGTCGGGGAAAAACAAATATAATTTAGTTATACTCAGATGATTTATTGTGTACACAACATGCCAAATAATGAGGTACGACGTGCAATTGCTAAAGTATACTTATCCAACTTAAGTGCACGAAATATTTCATACTAGAAGTTACTATCGCAAGGAAAGTGCTGCCTCACTCCCAAGGGATCAAAAGGCAGCATGCACATTTTGCTGAATAAGGGGCTGTTTACATGATCCCGCTTTGCCAGGATGATATGTGAGGCAGTATTTATTTTGATGTATTGAAATAAGTTACGGTGCACGATTCAGCAAAAAAACTACATTATTTTCTAGAGATAGATTATAGCTGACTGTAAACGAAAGGTTGTTCAAGCAGCAATAATAATCTTCTTGAACTACAACATTTGAGAGTGAACATTCGTTTAGCCTAGCCCGAGTGACTTATTTCAATACATCAAAATCACCCCGCCTTTCAACATGTAAACAGCACCTAAGATGCATGATCATATTTATATGCCACGGCTTCTATAGGCAACGTTTTTGACTTAGCCATTGTTAGTGGTTATGACTCAGAGTTTCCCCACGCAATCCCCGTGGCCAAAGACGTTGCCTAGAAGTGTGGCGTATATATATATATATATATATATATATATATATATATATATATATATATATATATATATATATATATATATATATATATATATATGTTATATATATATATATATATATATATATATATATATATATATATATATATATATATATATATATATATATATATATATGAGTAATCATGCTTTGAATAGGAATGACGGTACTTATCTCAGAAAACTATATCCATCCATCTTATTGACAGATGACGTCATCCCATGGGTATATAAGAAGTCACGTTGCGATTTCAGATTACCCCTGATGAAAACACTGGACTGCAGTGTCGACGTTGGGTCTTGAATGCATATGAAACTAGTTTTTCATATCTCTGGATGTTTTTGAAATAGTAGGTTCTAATTTATTTTTTTCTTTGTTCTTTGTTCTTTGTTCCTTGCGCGTTTACAAGATGTCAAACGTAAGGCCCGTTTTCCACCAGACCAATTTGTTCTCACGAAGCGACTTTTTCCTTTGCCGGCATTGCTTCAGTGCTGACGTGATAAGCGATGCCGACAAAAGTTGGCTCATTGAATTCAAAACAGTACTCTATTCAATTCCAGTGTGTAGATTAGTTGCACAGCTTCGCATTCCAATGTAGATTGTGTACTTACGTTTGCAGTTTTTGTGGTCCTGGGTAAGTCCATAAAATCCATCCGCGCAAACATTGCAATATGGACCAATCACGTTAAACTCACAATTCTCACAGTGGTCCCCAGTACTCCCAATATCACAGCCAATACACACGCCGCTCTCTGGATCACACTGACTTGAGCGACCATTGCAAGAGCACAAAATGCATTTCGAAAATGGACCAGCGTTCGCATTTTCTCGTGTGAAACCTGCAAAATGAAGTTGCAAAACACATCATTAACAAGACACCTCAGGCGTTCACTCTGGTGACATGATACGTACAAAATTGGCAACGTTGGCAGAACTTCAGAAGAAAAGTCAGTAATGATGTTCGTGGTGTTACTCTGAGTGTGCATCTACACTGGGCAAGCTGAAAAGTTTGCCTGACCACGGTGGGAATCGAACCCGCGACCTTTGGTATACTAATCCAATTCTCTGCCAACTGAGCTGCGAGGTCCAACTGAGCTACTAGTATCCCAAAGGTCGCGGGATCGATTGCATGGGTCAGGCAAACGTTTCAGCTTGGCCGGTGTGGATGTAGGCTCAGAGTAACACCACAAACATCATATTCACCTGAGTACATAACACCAACACACACACACACACACACACACACACACACACACAAAAAGTCAGTAATGTTATCGAACCCCATGGGATATTATACCCGTTCTCAAAATTACACGATCTGTCTGAAAATATGTCAGTTTTATGCATAGTTTTATGTCACACAAACTGCAAAAAGAACAATCGTTAAGAAAATATATATATTTTATTATAAACCGTATTTCATACGTTTATACTGCGCGCATGCGTATGTGTTAATAAACCACAAATACTGCACAAACATTGCACCGATCAACTGTTACGCATATAAATACAAACTTGATTGGTAATTTAATTGATGCCATTAAGCGGGCATTTTTAGCTAAATCGTTGCACCCTGAGCCTGCGATGCCTTGGTCCAATGTCACTTTTGTTGACAAGCGAGAGTTTGATGAACTCTCAGCATGGTGTAGCTATTTTTTTCGTCTCTTTGACACTTAAGCTGGAGTTACACGAGCGACAAAATTGCTGCAACTTGCAACAAAATCAGATTTCAACGCATGTTAAGTAGAAATGTCGCTACATGTTGCCTTGTGATTTGCAATTTATGTGTAAACATTTTCAATTGACATGCGTTGAAATCAGATTTTGTTGCAAGTTGCAGCAATTTTCTTGCTCGTGTAACTCCACCTTTAGTATACAATAAAAAATATTGACTGCAGGAACTTTGGGAAACAATGTGTTTTGACGATCCTCGATCGAGGGTACACAATATCAAAACATACCGTTTCCCTCGGTTTACAGTCATTTAACGATTTAAACACTTGCAGGGAACGTTTCTTTAGTGTAATCCGGATTTGGATCTTCAAATCCGATTATCGTTTTTCAGTTTCATTTGACAAAGTTTTATAAAATAGATTCGAATTTGGTGAATCGACCTCATAGAAATAATAGATATAGAGTGCGTACTTGATCACGAATCTGTCTCCACTTTTTCTCATGCGTGCCCTTATAAATCCGCCATGTTGAATTTGACTAGGAGTGCAAACTACAAAGTATAAACAAAGCTAAAACTCGTTTTCATCGTCAAAACGTTTTGTCTTGTTGTCTAATTTTAGTTTTGTCTTGTTCAATAATTGTTGTCTTGTTGCCTATATCTATTATTTCTATGATCAACCTCAACATACGGATTTTTCGGATTCAATCTAAAACGTGATTAGAATTTAAAGTTCCTTTTGAGCTTCTGGCCTTCTAGACGGTACCTTGACCCGACTCAAAGGTATAGTGGGACAGGAAACTTATTGTAAAAAAAGCGGGAAAACAGCAGGCGAATTCCGATTCTCAACAATTCGTTCAATTTGTTTCAAGTTTAACGAATCCAAAAAATCCGAATCCTAAAAATCCAAATCTAGATTTACAAAAGAAACTCCTACGTTGGTCTAAAAATAGCAGTGGTCGGATCTGCGTTTGAATTTTCTCCCAGACCGAACTAGTGGGGTATCGTAAACCAACACCGTCATGTCCTTTGAAACTAAATTAAAATCGCTACTCACATTTTTGAATAGCATTATCATTCTTATACCTATATATATTTCTTACTATATGTAATATGTAAGATCTTCAAAAAAAGTTTAAAAAAGTAAAAAAAAAAGTTAAAAAAGTAAAAAAGTTTACAAAAAGTTAGATCTTCAAAAATAGTTAAAAAAGTAAAGAAAAGTTAACAAAAGTAAAAGAAAAGTTTAAAAAAGTTAGATTTTCAAAAAACGTTTAAAAAAAGTTAAATTAGGGTTAGGGGTTAGGGTTGGGGTTAGTGTTAGGTGCCGCGAATTTATCATATTGATAAATTCGAACATGTTTAACAATTTACTCATATAGTAAATTCAAAGGTGCACGAGCCGAACACGAAGCCGACGACTGGATGAAAATGCGAGGAGTTGAAATCTAGTCCAGTCCGAATATTGGGGGATTTGACATGACATCTCATATACGAATAAATCACGTACTACTTAAATTAAAGTGAGGTGAATTCATTTTGATCCAGTCCCAAGGACTGAATTAATTTCACGTATCCAGTATTATCATGCATGTTAGCAAAATAAAGCAATATGGTTGGCTAATTCACTCATGAACTATTAATGAGATCTATATATAATACATGTCCGCTTCGTTGATGATCCCTTCAATCAATCAACCG